CCAGACACACCTCGAGTCTCCTTTCCTTCTTTGTTCGGGGAATAGAATATAAAATTCTTCCTTCCCCATACCAATCCTTTTCGAAGAATTCAGGATTCATCCTAGGAAGTTTATCCCGAATCCTAAGCAGGGATAAGTCTGCGCCTAACACGCGCTGCCGGTTTAGTCTTTCTCCGTAGAAAAAGACACCAGAGTTCGATTCTGGGGTATTCTATCCTGAAACCTAAGCAAGGATAAGTCTGCGCTTAACCCGCGCTGCCGGTTAGTTCTTAACCGTTAAAAAGAACACACGTCCGCATATTCAACATTGTGGTAGGTTGTTATTAATAACACCGAAATCCATGCCTTACACGCATGGGGAATTTCATCCTGAATCCTAAGAAAGGATATGCCGACGCCTAACACGCGTCGCCGGTTTAGTCTTTTACCGATTGAAAAAGACACCAGAGTTCGATTCTGGGGTATCTCATCCCGAAGCCTAAGTAGGGATAAGTCAACGTCTAATACACGTTGCCGGGTAGCCTATTCCCGTAACAATGGCGAAGCCTATGTATTCAACATCATAGCACAAAGTCTCAGAGAATTCACTCTCTTAGCACAATGTTACATGCGGAACGGATTTAGACAATCCGCATGCTAGCCCGACTCAAACGGTAGTCGGTAAAGGCTAATCAAATCCGTTGAAGGCTGGGGGTTAGCCAAAAATCCTAAAGTCAACGCCTAACACGCGTCGCCGGGTAGCCTATTCCCGTGAGAAAGACGAAGTCTACGTATTCAACATCGTAGCACTAAGAGCGTTAACCCTCTTAGCACAACGTCACATGCGGAACGGATTTAGATAATCCGCATGCTAGCCCGATTCAAACGGTAGTCGGTAAAGGCTCATCAAACCCGTTGATGGCTGAGGGTTTGCCAAAAATCCTATAAATACGAGAGTCACTGACGCATCAGCTTCATTAGTTGGTCTCGTGACTTGAGCATCCAACGACATTCGAAACCTTAGGGTCAACGCCGGTCAACGCGTAACCCTAGGTCAACGCCAGTCAACGCGTTATGATCAAAAAGTCAACGTACGACATTAAAAACCCTAAGGTCAACACCGGACAACGCGTAACCCTAGGTCAACGCCAGTCAACGCGTTGCGATCAAAAAGTCAACGTACGACGTTCAAAACCCTAAGGTCAACGCCGGACAACGCGTAACCCTACGTCAACGCCAATCAACGCGTTACGATCAAAAAGTCAACATACGACGTTCGAAACCCTAGGGTCAACGCCGGTCAACGCGTAACCCTAGGTCAACGTCGATCAATGCGTTGCAACGAAAGAATCAATACTCCAAAAAGTATACGAGTATAAACTGCTTCTTAATACTCCGAAAAGTATACGAGTATAAACTGCTTCTTAAATACTCCGAAAAGTATACGAGTATAAACTGCTTCTTAATACTCCAATAAGGTATACGAGTATAAACTATTTCCTATTTTTGGTTGAAAAGTTTCTGGAGAATATTTTTCTAAAAATATTCTTAAGGATAACTCAACAACACAACGCCGGACAACGCGTTGCACATAAAAACTCGACGCCAGCAATCGATGGTCAATTCTACGAGCTGAAGATCAAAAA